TGGCCCGGCCTGGAGGGGACCTGGGAGCCCTCCACCCCCGCCCCTGCCGGAGACGCCGCCGCGCAGCCCGGCCTTCCAAGGGAGGACAGTGATTGTGACCACACCAAAGTCTCCAGGCCCTCTGCGCCCCTGAAGGATCTCGCAATCTCGCTGAGCCTCTCAACCCACATCCCCTGGGGTCGACCCACTTCGCGGCCAGGGGAGAGCGGGTCCCCTGGGAGCGACGCCCCTGGCACCCGGCTAATGCCCCTTCATCTACCTCCCCTTCGGGTGCTGAAGCTCCTGCTTCCCAAGCAGGTCACAAATGCAGACGCTGGCACTGGACCCTGGTTCAAAGAGGGACCCGCCCCAGGTGTCCGCCCTAAGGTTTGGTTTATTCACACTTCCGCCTTATAAAAACAACCCTAATGAGTTTCACCGTGTGCCGATTAAAAGTTAAACAATGAAACGAGACAAGGCATAAAAATAATTGGTTTAGTAGGATAGATTTAAGGCACGACAAAGGGAGGAGGGGTCCTGTAGAAGCCCTCGGGCTGGGGGCAGGGCAGGGACGCCGGCCCGCAGCCCTCAGCCGCTTCTTCCCGTAGCGTCCGACTTCTTGGAGGAGTTCCCCGGCGAGGGCAGAGAGTGCGTCAACTGCGGCGCCCTTTCCACTCCGCTGTGGCGCCGAGATGGCACCGGCCACTACCTGTGTAACGCCTGCGGCCTCTACCACAAGATGAACGGTGTCAACCGGCCGCTTGTTCGGCCCCAGAAGCGCCTGGTGAGTGTGGGCTGCGCCGCGCGCGTGGGAAGGGCCAGAAGGGCTGCTGGGAGGTGCTCCCAGGAAGTCAGGCAACCCCCCAAGCCCAGACGTGGTGAGGCCAGCTCATCTCCTCCAGGACCCCTAGTAGGGGAAGAGGCAGGGACCAAGCCCGACTCCTAATGGGATACTGGCTGGCAGCCCAGGGCCCAGTGTCTGCCCAGTCTGGCTGCTTAGCTCTTGTTGGGATGGGCACTAGATGTGAGCCACCCGCTGGGCCACCACTCAGAAAGGACCCAGTTTTGAAGACAAGCTCTGCCCTGAGTGGGCAGACCAGAGTGCTATGGGCCCAGTGGGCCCTGGGGCCTCAGCCTGCAGCCAGGCCAGCCAAGCTCAGGGTGGCCTGCCAGGGATGGGGCTGGGGGAGGTGTCCGCAGAGTAGGTGCTTATGTGGGGGACATGGAAACCCTAAATGGGAGGTTCTGGGGGGCTGTGCCTTTGGGGAGCCTCCAGGAAGCCCGGCCTCAGCCTGTTCCTGCTGGGCAAAGCTCATTTCCCTTCTGTCCCCTGATGTGTGATGAGTTGGCAGTTGGTGTGAGAGCCATGGCAGGGCTGGCTCACCAGAGGCTGGACAGAGGTGTGGAGGTGTGGAGGGGCTTCACTCTTCAGCATGTCACAGGCAGACCTTCTAAGGTCACGTTTTCAATGAGAGTTTGGGGTGTTGACAAGGCATTCGGGTTATCCAGAGCTGATGAGGGCACATGGCCCCTGCAGGGCTCAGGTCTGGGCAGGGGTATCCCTGGGGCACCAAGCCCTTCAGCCTAACAGTGTGAGCCCCGCGCAGGGCCATCCACTGGTGCTGGCCTGTCGGGCCTGCGGTGCCTTTCAGCACTGGCCTTCAGGGTGCGCAGCTGTGTGTGAACCTGAGCCCCACACAGGGGCAGCCCACTTGAGGGCTGGGAGGCAGGAGAGGAGGTGTGGTGGCCCCTGGGCAGCCTGCTTCTCTTCCTCTCAGCTGGCTAGGGCTTGGGAACTTCAGGTCTCCACTTCGATGCAGGGGAGGGCCACCTCAGAGGCCCTCACAGTGTCCTCTAAGCCCTTTCTCCAGCGAGTCCTTCCCCCTCCCCACAAATGTGGCTGGTCTGGTCTGAACTCCATATGGGCTTTGCTGATGGGGAAACTGAGAACGGGGTGGGGAGGTGGCGGGGAGGTGGCAGGTAGGAGCAGGTCCTGTGGTGGGACTGCACCCCTCAGGCCACAGTCTCCCCTGGGTATCAGGCCAGTCTGCTCCTCAGGCTGTGTCCAGCTTCCGCATGCCAGGCCCTGAACTGGGCACCAGGACACACCTAAGGAGTGAAGAATGGGCTGGGATGTGGCTCAGTGGTAAGGCACTTGCCTTGCATGCGTGAAGCCCTGGGTTTGATCCCCAGTTCCGAAAACCAAAGACAAAAAAAAAAAAAAAAAGCCAACCCAAGAAGTGGGGAATGAATCTGGAGCCGTCCTGTTCACGTTGTACATAGCAGATGGTTGATGTGGGTGGCGTGGACCCCAACCCTAACCCCAACCCTTGGCTGGCCTGGGGATTGAGGCCTGTCTCCTGGCCTGGGAAAATGGGTGATAAGCTTGGCAGATGCCTCCTGAGAGGCCGCAGGCCTCTAGTTACCTGTCTGCTCCCTTCTCTAAGGCCCCGGGCCTTGGATGGTAGGAACAGTGTGGTCACTCCAGGCCTATCCCAACCTGAGCGTAGAACATGTCTAGGAAGTGGGTGCCAAGTGGGACATTCAGGGGCCCCCTCTACTGCCCACCTCTCCCCCAGGAGGACCCTGGGGTCTCTCCTGACCTGCTTTAGGGTTCCCAGCCCATAACGCAGAGTTGAGCACCACAACTGGCTGATCCTGCAGAGCTGGGCAGAGCATGGACACCCAGGGACTCAGGGCTCTGCTGCCAGAGCTGACCAGGTGGCTCCTGGCCATGGGGCTGGCTGGTCACTCCAAATTTGCCCCCCAGCCCCCCAGTTGTACCTTACAAGCCCCTTGAGTATGGCCAGAACTGATGTCCCAGGTGAGGCCCCCCTGGAGAAATTTGTCCCAATCCTCTTTTATTTTATTATTATTTTTTAATTTATGTTTTGGTTGTAGTTGGGCACCATACCTTTATTTTATTTATAAATTTTTATGTGGTGCTGAAGATTGAACCCAGGGCCTCGCACGTGCTAGGTGAGCGCTCTACCTCAGAGCCACAACCCAGCCCCATGTCCTCTTCTAAAGGAGTACTGTCATCTTAGAACTATCGTCAGGATTACAGGAAAGCAGCCACCATCCCCGCCGGCAGGAGCCCTGACTCTCTGGTCCTTTGTGTGCTTTTCTGGGTGCATTAGCACCTCCAACCTGAGGCTTCTGTCATGGTGGACAAGCAAGGGGAGCAGTCACAATGGCCCTAGGCCACCTGCCTCCTCATCTCCAGTACACACCTGTCACACCCACGTCCCCACCAGAGTCTGGCCTCCATGTGCATGGACATGGTCTGGGCCCTCGGAGCTCCACACAAGCCAGAGCCCAGCAGCCAGGGTCAGAGAGGACAGCAGACCCACAGCCCAAGGCCAGCTCCAGCACCAGCTCCAAGAAGGAGCCAGTCAGGTGGGCTGAGCGTCCTTTGTTGGCAGGTCCACCTGGCCTGGGCAGGTCTCCACCTCTGATACTCCCAAGCCTGCTCCTTCCTGCTCAGCCCCTGGAGACTCGTGTCCCTGAGTCAGTTTGCCCTCGGCCAGCAAGGGAGCTGACTTTCCCCAGGTCAGTGTCCATTGTGTCTTCTCTCAGAGGGGCTGCTCAGGCCCTGGCCCTCCCCAGGCTCTGATTCTGGCTGTCCCCTTCCCTGTCTTGGGTAGCCAGGGCTCTGGCCTCAGAGGAGGCTGCTCTGTAGTGCAGGACACTGTGGCCTGCACGCTCACCTTCCAGAGTGTTCCCCTGCAGAGCAAGCGGGGGTCCGGAGTCTTGCCTGGCCGCCCCGCTCTGCCCTGCGGCCCACACTGACTTGTTTGGAAGTGTCAGGTGCACACAGAGCCTGTCCCTCAGCCGCCCTGGTTATGGTGAGCGGGCTTGGACGCTCAAGTTCTTTGGAAAAGAACAGACCAAAAAACCAAACTGCAGCCAAGAGAGGCCTGGCAGGGGGTGCCTGCACGTGGCCAGGCCTGGCTGTCTGGACAGTGAGGAGAGACAGGAACAGGCTGAGGGCCTCGGTGCAGGTGTGGTGACAGTGGGGACACCGGAGCAGGACAAGGGCAGCACTGGGGGTGTGGCCCCAAAGTGTGCAGTGAAAGGAGGCAGTCTGCACCCAGTCCCCCGTCCCTCCTGGACCCTCAGCCTGCCCTCTGGACACAGGCAGTCTGAAGCAGGAGGAGGTGAATGAGGAAGCGCTTCAAAATTCTTTTTGAGGTCATTCTTTTTTTTTTTTCCTATTTTCTTAATTTTTTATTAAAGTAAAAACATGGTCATGGTCACTGTCCAGATATTCAAACCTGGCTTCAGATGTCCCCGCTGCACACACACAGTCTGCGCAGGCCACCGTGTCTCCTCACCTTCCACACCTGAGGCAGCTCCCGGCCCCCTGGGGCGCATGCCTGGCAGCTGGAGGCCCTGTGTGCGCCTGTGCCTGTGGCAAGGGGCGGGTGGGTCTAGTGCCCAGTGTGCCAGCTGGCTCAGCGGGGAGAGTGCCTCGGGCCATGGCTCCTGGTCTGAAGGGACAGCAGAGTGGGCTGCCGTGGGGCCTGGGGTGGTGCCCGGTAAGGAGCAGGACCACCAGTCACTGGGGACTTCAGACCAACTCCGGGGGCAGCAGGGGACCCAGCTGCACAGAGCACTCGCTGTCCCGTGGCTGGGACCTGGCTTCTGCTCAGAGCTGCAGCCCTGCAGGAGGTGCCAAGGTCAGGGCTGCCCCTGGGGAGGGCAGGATGCATGGATGGGGTGCTCAGCATCCTGGGCCTCTGTCTTGCCAGTGGGCTCTGGAGGGGCAGAGGGAATGTCCAAGTTCCTGCCCCCAGAGGTGGTACAAGGGAGGCTTCCCCTGGAGACTGTCTGGGGTCCGGCTGACTGGGGCCCGCGCTCCTGCCGTGGAGTTGCCACCACCCAGGACCATGGGCCCTGCCTCCCTTCCAGGGTGTGCCAGCTCCCTCCACTCCAGGGAAGTGAGCCACAAGCCTTATCCCCAGGGTGCCCCCGGGGAGACCGTTGGGGACTCCCAAGTGGCTGGACATCAGCCCAGCAGCCAGGGTGTAGAGGCCACGGGCCTGGGAATGGACGCTCTTCCTCAGTCTCTCCAGCCAGATGATCTGTGGCCCTGAGGCTGGTCTCCTGACCTGGCCCCCTCCTCACCTTTCCACCATGGAGGCTGGTCTCAAGGCCTGCCTGGACACAGAGGCCCAGAGAACACAGGGCTAGAATTCTCAGGCCTGGCAGCTGCTTGCAGCAGGTGCCCTGGGGAGGGAGGGCAGATCCATACCTGAGGATTGGGGAAAGCTGGCGCTTGGGCTTTAGACAACCCCCTGCCCCACTCCTAGGCTGTCCTTCAGGGCAGGCCCATGCCTCAGCCACAGCCTGGGAGAAAGGGGTGGGCAGGAGGTGGTCCGTGAGGCTGGCTTGGCCCTTGCCCTCTTCCTGAGGTGTGAGGGGTGGGGAAGGGGATGCTGAGGTCCCGTGCTGCTCCTCTGACGCAGGCGAGTTTGCTCTCTCACTTGATGGTTCTCTGGCTTGGTCCTGGGCAGGAGCATACAGAGGGGCATGGCTTTGTCCTGGTGGACTCTGACCCTGTGCCCCAAGGCACCACTCTGTAGTCTGAGCCCTGCAAGGCATCCCCATCGTCCTGGAGAGAAGGGCCAGGGACCCAGACCAAGTGGAGCAGTTTGAACTGGGGGAAGTGGGTGGACACGGTCAGGGGCATCATCCAAGAGCAGGGCCAGGAATGGACAAGGTCTGGGGCAGGCGGCTGGGAAGCTCTGCTGTGGGGTTTGGGAAGGGCATCAAGCAGAGGCGCTCCTGTGGCTCCCAGGCTCCAGGGACAAGACTCCACGCAAACACGGAGCTGAGTCAGGCAGGAGAGAAGCAGCAGGGCCCAGCAGCTGGGGGGACAGGCCTGCAGAAGTGACCCCCAAGCCACAAGCACAGCAGAGGCTCCATGGGGCCTCCACTTGCTCCAGGTGACACCCTTCCAGGGCATGAGTCCTGATGCCCCTGGCAAGGCTCACGTCCGCTTCTCTGTCCCCAGTCCTCGTCCCGCCGTGCTGGCCTCTGCTGCACCAATTGCCACACGACCAACACCACACTGTGGCGACGGAACACAGAGGGTGAGCCCGTGTGCAACGCCTGTGGCCTCTACATGAAGCTTCATGGGGTGAGTGTGCCCAACGGGCAGCCTGGCCTCTGCTGGGGAACTGGGAGGAACCAGGCAGGGTGGCCCCAATGGCCCTCAGAGGTTGGAACCAGGGTCCAGCACTGCCTGCTCACCCTGCCTGGGGGAAAGACACAGGCCCAAGGTGCAGGTGGCCAAACAGAGCTTGAACACTGGCCAGCGCCCGCCATCCAGGAGCAAGGGGCTGTGGGCCTAGAGGAGGGAGGCAGCTGTGCCCACCCTTGCTGTCCCGACCAGGTGCCTCGGCCACTGGCCATGAAAAAGGAAAGTATCCAGACTCGCAAACGGAAGCCGAAGAGCACTGCTAAGACCAGGGGCTGCCCAGGTGTGTGGGGAGGCTGCCCAGGTGTGTGGGGAGGCTGCCCAGGTGTGTGGGGAGGCTGCCCAGGTGTGTGGGGAGGCTGCCCAGGTGTGTGGGGAGGCTGCCCAGGTGTGTGGGGAGGCTGCCCAGGTGTGTGGGGAGGCTGCCCAGGTGCATGGGGAGGCTGCCCAGGTGCATGGAGAGGGCCCCACGCCAAGGAGCCCAGCCCAGCCCCGAGCCCGGCTCCCACCAGCAGTGTGTAAGTTTGGTCCAAGCGCCATCTTCCCAAGGGAGGGACTCCCCAGGGACTGGCTCCAGGAGGCGCAGGGTGGATGACCGGCCCAGCAATGGGGCCCGGCCAGGGCAGGATGCACCTCTCTGGCCCAGACAGGAGAAGCAGCCTGGTCAGATGTGGCACCTTCTGTAAGTGCCCCTCCTCCCCCACCTAGGATCCGCAGTGAATGCCACAGCCTCCCCGCCTGCTGACCCCAACACGGAGATCTTGGCTGCCACTTTGAAACCAGAGCCAAGCCTGGTGTCCCCAATGGGTGCCGAGCCCAACGTCACCTCCCAGGTATGGAGGACAGAGTGGGGAGGGGTGCCCAGAACTGGTCCGTACCCCTTCTCAGGGTTCCACCAGAACCCCCAAGGGCCTCCCCCAGAGCTCAGCTGGGCATGTGGTCAGCCTCCGTCATCAGGAAGTGTCCTGGGCACAGAGCCCTGCATGTCACGTGCCTTACCGCCGAGAGCGAAGCTCAGGAGGATCCCAACCCCGTTCAGGGAGCCGTCCATAGTGGGGGCTCCTGATGCGGGAAGGCCAGGCTGCTCCTGGGTTCTCACACAGCCCTCCTCCCTGCAGGCCCCTGGCCAGGTGGATGGCACCCTGACCCCCGGCCACTTGGAATTCAAGTTTGAGCCTGAAGACTTTGCCTTCTCCTCCACGGCCCTGGGCCCCCAGGCCGGCCTCAGTGGTGCCCTCCACCAGGAGGCCTGGTGTGCCCTGGCCTTGGCCTAGGCCCCAGCCAAAGTGTCGTCGGGGGCTTCCTGGACAGCGCCCGCAGACTCACCTGCGCTGGCAGGGATTGCCAGGCCCATCCACCAGAGAGGCCTCCTCCTGGAGTCTAGAGGCTTGGGAGTCACTCAACATGGTGGCACAGACAGCCCAGAGCCAGAGGAAAGCTGAGGAGGGGCTTGAGCCCCTCTGCCCACGCCCCGCTGGGGCCTCTCCGCACCACAGCACGTTTACAGGCGGTAGCCGCTGGAATGAATCCTGACCTCCTGCTGGGAAGCCAGGGCCCCAGGTGAAACCCTGAGGCCCCAGGAGCCTGGAGCCTGGCATGGGGCCTGGCATGGGCCCTGCAGCCTCCTGTCCTCCACTGCCCACACTTGATGGAGGGAGCTGCAAACATAGCACTTTCTCTCCCAAGGGCTCAGGCCCACCGGGATGGGTGTGCAGGCCGTGCACTGTACCTGCACACCACCCCCCAGGGTGCTGTCCACCCTGCATCCATCTCAGGCTTGTGTTTATTTGGACAGTTTTTCCAGAGGGGGCAGTAAAGGACCTCATTCTCAATGTGTCCATGTGTCGCAGCCATTTCTGACGCGGAGCATGAGTACTAGGGCCCATTAGAACCTACACAGATGAATTGTCAGAGCTGGGGTGGCCTGGGTCCTGGTCAGCTGCAGCATCAGTCTCGAATGCTGTCCAGTCTGGGCAGCCCCCTGTGGAAGGTCTCATGCCTGGAGCAACTCTGCACGGGGACTGGGGGCCAGCTGTGCAAGACCGCCATCAGGCAGACCACAGGCAGCTGAGGGGAGCCCCCTTCTCAGCTCCCGCCAACCCACACGTCTTTACACGTGAAATCCTCCAATTGGAAGCCTCTTTCAAGTTCCAATCTTGACTTGAAAGTCCTTTACGTATTGCCAGCAGGCTGGAACACAGCTGCCGGGAAGCCACCGTGGCCACCACCGACACAGGGTCATCCCTCCAGGGGTCCTTCCGACCCCGTGGCCACCTGAGGGAGGCTGGTGGTTTATTTGTTTTTAAAACAAGCGAAGCCATAACAACCGTTGTGAATAAAGCCCTTGAGCCCACACTCTCCCTCCGGGTCACCCCATGGGACTTCCCAGCCTGGGCCCTGCCTGCCAGACACAGCCACCCCAGGGGTCACTCTGCCCTGGCGGCCATCAGTTCTGGAGGCTGAGCAGGACTTCCCTAGCTGCCCTGAGTCACTTCAGGAGCCTGAAGGACACCCACAGGCCTTCAGGCTCAGAGTCATGGCCCTTCAGGGTCCAGTGGCATAGGGGAAGGACACTGGACAGAGCAGGGTCAAGGGGCAGCAGGTGCTGGAGGGTCCTGGAGGTGCAGAGGACCCAGGTGGCAGGGGGTCTTGCCCTTCCCAGGCGGGCCCCTCCTCCTGGAGCCCTCCCCAGCTGCCTCTGTCTGCCGGACACCGTAGCAGGGCCAGTGGACAACATGGTGACTTCAGCCCTCTGCCTGCTGGACCAGGCTGAAGGAGGCTCAGGCATGGCCCTTCGTTCTGGCCCCGAGTGCTGATGTGTGCTGACGCCCAGGCCCCACCCTGGACAGTGGCTCCCTGGATCTGAGGAGGGCCCAGGAGTGAATGTTTTGAACAAGGACCCTACCTCTCTGGGAGGAGGGGCCCTAACTTGAGAAGCCCTGCACTGAGATGCAGCTTCAGGCCAGGAATCTGGGTCAAGTCCCTGCCACTTGTTGTCCATCCAGCCCAGGGGACAGGGCTGAGGGTCCCATGGACTCTGATGAGCACCCCAGGCACAGGGCAGTGCTGCAAGGGCTTGCTGCCATCTCCCCTCCAGGTCCCTCCCAGGTGAGGGAACAGGCTCTGAGAGGTGAAGGGGTCACCCAGCCAGGCAGGGCTTCAGCACCCTGTCCTGGGCCCTGCACAGCCTCACCTCCACCACCTGGGGCTCCTGAGGGGGTAGTGGGCCTCCATTATCAAGAAAGGGGAGGGACGGCCATCCACAGGCCTCCGCCAAGAGGGCAGGGCGGGCAGTCTGCCTCACACAGGCCCAGTGTGCAGCACAGCTCCATGGAGGACAAGGCCCGCCCCGCCCATTCTCAGCAGCGCAGAGCTGGGCGAGGGTGAGGGCCAGGGGCCTGGGAGGCCGACGGCAGGAAGGAGGGGCGGGAGGCGGTGAGGATTGCTGCTTCTGCACCCAGACACCTCCTGGACATGGGCCTTGGCCCCCCTCCTCCCTGAAGAGAAGCCCCCCAGGACCACAGCAGGCTACGTGAGGGGTGTCACAGGGGCCAGAGCAGGGTCCTCACCCAGTGCCCACCCAGGAGCCCGGGGCCCCTCTGAGCCTGTTTCTCCCCTGCCAAGGAGCACTTGTCCACACCAGGGCCAGGTCTGTGGCCTGTGCACCTGGGTGGCAGACCCTGTCCCTGGGGGCCCCAGACTCTGATGAACCCAGGGAGGCCTCAGAAGCTGTCCACTGTGAGACGTGAAGGCAAGGACGGTGGGGCCTCTGGATGGAGGGAGGGGCTGGGTGCTGAAAGGGCTTGGGACCTGGCCCAGATCTGCTCGAGATCTGCCCAGGATGCGGGAGGCCGAGAGCCGCACGGCCTGGCACGGTGGTCCTGACCAGTCTAAGTGTTCTGCTCTTCGGGAGGAAACCCGCCCAACCCAGACCTTAATATAGCTGCTGGCGCCCTCTCCCTGCCACGCCTCCTCCCATGCCTGGTGATGTGCCCAGCTGGCTGTAGGCCACCAGCTGAGGGGGAGGGGTGCTGACAGGCCGGAGATCCAGGCCCCTCATGAGAAGGCAGGTTGGAAGGCAAGGTCCCTACCTGCTGCCGGCAACACGAGCTGAAGCAGATGTGCCCGGAGCCTAAAGCAAGAGCCAGCACAGCAGCTGGGAATCTGCACCGGCAAAACCCAAGGACAGAATGTGCAAGGCACAGGCAGGAGGACCCAGCTCTCCGTCACTCGTCACTTGGTGCTTCTTGACTCAAAAAGCCGAGAGGCAAGGCTCTGCCCACAGGGCCGCCCACCCACAGCCTGCTCTCCACCCAGCTCCTGCACCCCGTGTCGTGCCCTTTGCACGCTCACCTGGACCTGCAGGAATCTGGAGCAGGCATCACCAGCCAGGCCACGAGCAGCCCCCGCGGGCAGCCCTTCCTGCTGGGACTTTAGCTTCCAAATAAGAGTGTTCCTAGAGAAGAACACGGCGGCGGTCACCCTCGCAGACAGTTCTACACCACAGGCACTGTGTCTGGGGCAGGGACACCTTAGAAAGGGTGCCCACAGACCTCAGTGCTGGCCTCTCTGAACCCCACAGGGAGTCATGGGAGCTCTGGTGGCCATGCTCCAGGCCTCCAAGATGTGTGGACAGGCTTCGAGGCCCAGCAGCCAGGTGGGAGGGAGGGCAATGAAGGCTGGGGGCCACACAAAGGAAGAGCAGGGAGGCCACATGGACACGGGGTGGGCATGGACACAGGATGGGCTTGAACGCGGGGTGGGCAGCACAGGCTTGAAATCCAGGCTCCTCCTCGAGAGGAATGTGGCCGTGCCCCAGGTCCCTGTTTCTGGAGACGGCAGGCCTGTGGCTGGGGAATCTGGTCCTCGGAGTCCCTCTAGCCCTCTGAGGGTAGGACGATCTGGACTGACTGGGGGCAGCAGCCAATGTCTCTGCTCTTAGGAAGCCGAGGCTCCAGCCCTTCCTCTGGGGCTTGACTGTCTGGGGGGACTCTGACCAGGCCCCCAGATCATGTACCTTCTCCCTGCAGCCCAGAATTATCACCCCCACCCAGACCCCTTGGCAGAGCCCACCCACCAGCCAGGCCAGACCCCATCTTCCTTGGCCCAGCCCAGATGATCTAAGAGAAAGCAGTCCCCCGGGTCCAACTTCCACAGGACAGTACGGTCCAGGGAGCCAGGTCCCCTGGAGGCCAAAACCCTCCCCGTCTTCCTCCGTCTTCTTCCTTCCTTCACACCCCATTCCACAGATGACAAGGTGAGTCCAGAGAACCCACCAGGCTTCCAGCAGGGCAGACCCCAGGGTGCCTGCGTTCACACACACAAATGCACACTCTCACATGCATGCGCACACACACACGCACATATGCACACACATATGCACACGCACACATGTGCACATGCACACATGCACACATGCAAGTGCCCTTTGGGGTGCTGAATCTGGAGCCAAAGAAGAGGGGCTGATTAACACCCAGATGGGGGTGGCTGGCCCTCAAGGGCCATTTGCAGGCCATGGTGGGCAGCCCCCTCCTGTCAGGGCCCTGCTCGGCCGCCAAGACGTTGACGCGCTTGGCTCCGGCCGCCTTATTTATTATCTGATAAAGCGCCGGGCTCCGCTGGTGGACAGCGTCTGGCTGCATGGAGAGGCTGGAGGCCCAGGGAGGAGGAAGGTGGGTGGGGACAGAGTGGGGCCAGGCCCCACCCCAGACCCGGGACGCAGCACCGAGGAATCCCGACCTCTCCTTTGAAGGTGACCAGCCTTTCTTCTCCGTTGCTCATCGGTTCAGCCAGCCAGGATGAGCAGCCTGGGTCTCCCGCAAGGGGGTCACACCCCAGAGCTGTGCCCCTGTTGCCAAAGCCTGCTGCCCCTGGGGCATCCTCCCCTATGCCCCCACCAGCTTCTGCCACAGCCCATCTGCACATGTTCACTCGGCCCAGAGCCTGGACTGTCCAGGGTGCAACCTGGGCCTGTTCCTCCTTTGCTTCCAGACTCTCAGCTGCCCAGGGCCCAGCTCTGCACAGCAGCCCGGCTCTGACACCACCTCAGGGGCTCCTTCCCCTGCCCGAGCCCCTTTCGGGTGCCAGGACACAACACACCAGCCTGACTGCACTGTCCTTCCTTCCTCCTGTAACTACCTGGTGACTTGGGGTCAAGGACTCTGATGCCCCCGTCTCCTCCACAGGGTCCTCCAGGCAGCACTAGGAAGTCCAGGTCCAGAAGTCAAGGGCCGCAGGGCAGGAGCTCCTGTGGACAAGTCGAGGCTTGTGGGCGCCATAGTGAGGGGACAACGAGCTCTCCTTACTGCAGGCAACACCCCAACCAGCCCCAGGAGCACTGCTGTGTAGTCTCCAGCAGACAGTCCACCCCAGGGCCGCCCTTGAGCAATGGACACAGGTGGACACTCAATAGAGGAGAAGGGTGCTATATGACTGATATGACTGATCAGACAAACTTAAAAAGACAAGGATTTTTAAGAGAGAGAGAGAGGGGACGGGTGGAAGGACTCTAGGAGGTATGCGGCCGAGTCCTGAGCTGGAGCGCCTTAGGTGCCTACTGACGCAGAGATGCCTGAGCTCCAAGCAGGGGAGCACTGATGCTCTCCCTCACACAGTGCCACCTCCTACAGGTAGTCCTTGATGTCACCTCCCTGTAGGTAGGTCCTCAGTGCCACCTCCCCGTAGGTAAGTCCTCAGTGCCACCTCCCTGCAGGTGGTCCTCAGTGCCACCTCCCTGTAGGTAGTCCTCAGTGCCACCTCCCTATAGGTAGTCCTCAGTGCCACCTCCCTGCAGGTGGTCCTCGGTGCCACCTCCCTGTAGGTAAGTTCTCGGTGCCAC